CCACAACGCCTGGCTATTTTTTGGTTGCAGCCATCATTGTTGTTTGGCGGGCCCGGGCTGGGGATTCGAACCCACCACCTTAGGTGTATATGGCTGGTGCCTTAGCGGATTGAGCCACAGGCGCCGAGCCTGTACATGTTATTTTTAAAAGAAGACTTCTAAACAAGTTTTAAAATCTTCCACTAAGAATCTACTTTTTAAATTAACTTTACATAACTATACTTGTTTTTTTTTCTGAGACAGAGTTTCTGTCCCTGGGCTTGAATGCCATGGCTTCAGGCTAGGTCACAGCAACCTCAAACTCCTGGGCTCAAGCAATCCTCCTGCTTCAGCTTCCATAGTAGAAAGGACTAAAGGTGCCTGCCACCACACCCAGCTATTTTTGCTATTTTTACTATTTGTAGAAGAGACTGGGTCTCACTTTGCTCACGCTGCTCTGGAACTCCTAACTTCGACTGATCCTGCTGTCTTGGCCTCCCAGAGTGCTAGGATTACAGGTGTGAGCCACCATGGCTGGTCCATAACATGGTTAAGGATCAATGTTAGGCTCAGGAAAAAAGACTAAGAAAAATATTTCAACAATATTTACCTTTAGATGGTGGGATTATAGGGAATTCAGGTTCTTAGCTGTACTTTCTAAGCTTATTCAAATGTTACTCTAACACACTGATAATCAGAAAACAATGTAGTAATTTACTAAAATGAAGATCAACAATTTCTATAAACAGACAACATTAAAATTACATACAATAATTTGGGGGAATGTTTATTGTAAATGAAAACAAAAAGTGGGATTTAAGGTTATAAATACATACTTACAACATCAAAAGACTAGAAAACTAAATGTTCAACACTAGGAGGTGCTGCCTAAGGTACAATAAACTACTATGGAGTCAACTAAAAACGAGGCGATCGCTATGTGCTGCTATAAAAACACTGCGGGATAGGTTACCAAATGAGAAAACCAAGGTATGTAACCACATGTAACCTATGTTTCCAACCCTAACAACAACAACAAAAACAAAAAGAAAGAGAGAAGGGGTAGGAAAAAGATTCTTATGTGCATAAAGCATTTGAAAGGCCACATGAGAATCTATCTACTTTCATTACTTCTGGAGGAGGGATAAAGAGTTGGGTATACAATCTGATCCCAACTCCAGGAAGGTACGCATTAATGTGTAATAAATAATACATAAAAAGGAAAGTACACTGCTCACAATAGAATTTCTGAATCCATTTCAAAGCTGTACCCTAAAGATTTTTAAAGTGGAACCTAACAATGGATATTGAAAACTATTGAAAAAAAATGAAAAGTTCAAAATATCTGAATTATAGGAACTCATGAAATAATAAGGCAGGATACAAATGTTATTATAATTTCAAAACCCAGACATATAAGTTTTTATTACTAACAAGGAAAAAGCCAGAGAATTGGTTATTAAAGAAAACTAACTTCTCTCTCTCTCTCTCTTTTTTCTTTGAGACAGAGTTTTATTCAGTCGCCCCAGGGTTGAGTACCACGGCTTTATTGCTCACAGCAACCTCAAAACTCTTGGGCTCAAGGGATCCTCTTGTCTCCGCCTGCTAAGTAGCTGGAACTACAGGTGTCCACCACAACACCTGGCTATTTTTAAAGATGGGGTCTCATTCTTGCTCAGGTTGGTCTGGAACTCATGAGCTCAAGAGATCTGCTTGCCAAGGCCTCCCAGAGTGCTAGGATTACAGGTGTGCACCATCACACCCAGCCTAAGAAAACTAACTTCTAATTAAATCATTCAAGAACTGGCTTAACATGGGTGATTTTATCCCAAGACTTTCCTGCCATATTTACTCTGGTTTACAAGTTTAATAATCCAGTAGTGGAATATACTGCTGTACATTTAGGCAATAACAAAACAAAGAAAGACATTTTTGTATGTTAAAGATTTAACTTGGCACTTTTCCCTCCAAAAACAAAGGCAAGGAAACCAATTACAGAATCAGGGACAGAGAGGATTAGGCTCAGAAACAAGCTCTCTTTAATAAAACCCTAACTAAATAAGAATTATTTCATCTTTTGCAACATCAGATGCAGATTGGTAACTAAGGTTGTTCCTAGTATTTCTAAAAATCAGATTTATAGATCAATAACATCTACACTGCTGAATATGTATGAACATGAATTTACTGAGGTGTACCTATATACAGAAAATACATTTCAACTTTTATGTCAGAGTGAAGTCATTAACTTGGAATGGCTTTCTTTCAAACACTCTAGAGTTTTTTTTGTACTCATTAACACCAATGTGTTTTACTGAGTTTCCCTGAGTGTATGTATAATAAAAGACCACAAATCCCCAAGGACTCATGGTTACAATCAGCCACTTGTGAGAATCCACTAGTAATAATGGATAACATACCCCAGAGTAGAGAACTCAGAATCAGACCAGGAAATAGAAAAGCACTGCCACTAACTTTCACTTACCATCTGGGAAATGATAGTTCTCCTCCCATTTTACTTGTCAGTGTGGCACTTGGGGGATTGGGTTAGGTGAAAGGAACAGGAAGGTCATATAGTTTATTTACAGGAGTACCTTTTTTTCTGGGGGGGGAAAAATCCTTTCCCATCAAGAGTTTAGCTTTAAGAGAAATTTTTAGTGGAATGAAGTAGCAGATACAATAATCCTGAAGATCAGAAAAGTGACCTGTCAACAGCCCTAACACCCAGATATCTGCATAATTTAAGGACGTTGTCTCACTTAAAACATGGGACCCAGGGCAGACAAGTAGGTAGCACCAGGAAATGCATTCTCACTTACAGAGAAATCGCTCTTCCTGTCAGGAGCTAGTATCTGGTGACGCTCTATCACATCCCTAAACTGTGCTAAACACTGGAGCCACTCTGTTGACGGTTCATCATGTTACCACTCACACAGGTGGCACAGCACACAACCATCAATGTTACTTCTAAAGTCACTGAGTTCCACAAGGAAAGGACGACATGCTTTCCACAACCCAGGCAGTTCACCGGCAGGGGCTTAGCTCATGTTTATCGAGATACTATGTTCCCCTGAATCCTGGTGACAAAGGTTACTTTCCTTTATTTACCCAGATTACTTGTAAAACATTACTCTCCATTACCCGTTTTACCATGTGGATCTAAACCTTAATATTCACCACACCCTCAGCAGTCTTAGAGCAGAATGGAAGTTCCCCTCCAGGAAATGTTGAAGGGAAGGACTGGAAGGGTCAGATGTGACAAAGGAGAGGGAAAAGTGTTGTTAAAATCAAGTATATGTAGGTCTTCAAACATACTTCTAGGCCATTTCGTTTTTTGCTCTTGCCTCGCTGGCCTTCCTCGACATCCAGACAACGCCGAGGTGAATTAACACCTGCCGTAGCATCCCACCTCCCCCCCCACCGCCCTCGCCCTCCAGACTGCGGGGTTCAGGATCCCTTTTCTAAGAAAGCTTAGTAAGGCTACACTCACCATCAACCCTTTGAAGACGTTACCTGGAGCCCATTCTAACTTTGGAAGCTAAGAACTGGGGGGTGGAGGAAGAAGATCGTGAGTAGAAAGGGGAGCCAAGGTCGCCCCCCTCTCAGGGCCGGCCCCTGCCGAGTCGCGGGCAGCCGCCTCCGGCTTCGGCCGGTCCTCCCAGGGCCAAGGACCTGGGGCCCTGGGCGCCCCGGGGAGCGGGATGCGAGGCCTCCGGAACCAGCCTCGGCCAAGACAGCGCCCCGGTACCTGCTCCTGAGGCGGGATCGAGCCCGGCTGCCCAGATAAGGGGCCCACTGGGGCCTCCGCCGCCCCGCGGCCGGGCCCCGCCTCCAGCCGCCGCTCTCGGGCCGCGATCTGAGCCTTACCCGCAGGACGTGGTAGCCTTCCGTGCCCCCGCCTGGGATCTCGACGCTCTGCGAGGAGCCCATGGCGGCGGGCGATCGGTGTGGCCAAGCCGGGCTCCGGGCTGTTCTCCGCCCACCTCGCACCCTCCGCTCGGCTCCTCAGCTTAGCACTTAGGACGTGGCACTCACTGCCGCCGAAGAGCCGGGCCGCACTGCCCGCCGGGAGATGGTAGCCGCGGCAGCAGGGGCCGCTGCGACGCCGCAGACAGCGCCACCTGCCGTGAGCCGCGCGGAGGAGCCTGAGCGCTCTCGCAGGCGGGGAAGTAGGGCCGGAGAAGCGCGCGGGGGCAGGACCTGAGCGTACTCGCGAGACCAGAAATTCCGTTCCTGCAGCTCCGGCCCCTTGCTACGGGGCCCAGAGCGGGACAAGATTCATGAGACGCATTCCCATTCGCCCGGAAGAACAGTTGTTTGGTTGCAGCTCCCCCTAATGGCCAGAGGCCGGGGAAGAGCTGAGGTTGAGAAAAATAGGAGCAAATATAAACACTCTAAGCTCTGCATTCTTTGGGTTTATAGGTCTTGTCCCATATTGTACAATTGAGGGCAATAGTGCTCTCTGTGCGCTGAATACCAAATCCGCTTAGCTAAACTTACACAACAGTTGTCCCAAAGAATTACCTACCACGTTCTTTGTGGGTTTGGGTTTCAACCTCTCCCTAATTGTGAGAAGAAGATCAGGTGATTGGTCACAATCAGAGTGGTGCCAATGTGGGAAGCACGAATGGATTTCTTTAGCGTTCCACCGTCTGCTGCTGCTCAATTTCCCATCCTGTCAGTTCTTTTCATCAAGCCAGAATTCTATGACAGTGACTGTGCTGGATTAAAAGATAGGAAGGATTTAACTGGGAGATGCAAAGCGAGGTCTTGAGTTGACGGCTGATTTGGAGAAATAAGCCATAAAGGATGTTTTTGGCTCAACTGGAGAAAAGTGAAAATTACTGAGGGAAAAATAAAAGTTAGTTACCGGATGTGTCTGTAAACAATCTGGAAAACATTAACAAAATACATATTAATAGGTATGTATGCATATGAAGATGTAGGGAGGATAGGAACCAAGGGTTACAGGAGTGATCCTCTGGGTGGTGACAAAAATGTTTTATTTATTTATTTTTTCTTTTGGCTTGTTCTATATAATGCTCATGGACTGCTTTTATAATAATAAAAGATTTAAAATTTAAAAATATGAAATCAGTGGGCTGTGTTCAATAACTCCTGTAATACTACTAATGCTTTGGGAGCCTGGGGTGGGAGGATTGCTTGAGGCAAGGCGTTCCAGACCACCCTTTGCAAAACCAAGACCTCAAAAAAATAGAAAGATGAGTGGTGGCATATCACTTGAGGCCAGGAGTTGGAGGTTGCAGTGAGCTATGATGTTGCCACTGCAGTCTAGCCTAGGCAATAGAGCAAGACCCTATCTCAAATAAATAAATAAATAAATAAAATCCTCCTTTGCTGTTAATAAGCCAATATTAGGTTTTTAGGAGGCCTAATAAATCCATAAGGACATAAATGAAATCTCCAGTTATTAGGCAACTCACGGACAGGGTCTGCAGTGGAGTTGGTTCTGTGTTCCTGAAATTCACCAGAGTATTCAATAAATAAACTTAATGTGAAGGAATAAATATAAGAATTAAATTTGATGATACTATTCTTGTTCTACAGGGCAATTATAATCCTCTTCATGATGGTTTCATAAGCTGTTCCTTAATTTAGTGGTCAAAATTTGAGGACCAGTTGTTTCTCAAATATCTGACACTAGCCATGGCTTGCAGAGCCCAGGCTGTGGATCTTTGCTGGTCTGTGAGCAAGTCTAGACTTTCCTTAGAGCAGTACAGTATGTTTCAGCCTCACAAGTGGCTACTTGCTATCCCCCACACAGGCCATTTATTTTTTTACCTTCTTGAATTTATTTGTGCCAATCTCTACTTCTGGAATGCCATTCTTTACATTTTCCACTTAGAAAAATTCTAACTGTCCTTTCGGGCTTATCTCAAATGTTATTTCTTTATCCTCAATTTCTTTGCTCACCCTGAGTTGCTGAAACAGTTCCTTCATTTCTGTAATATCATCAACATCATCACAGGTTTGTCTTCCACCATTTACGGTCCACTTATTCAGGGTGAGGACCATGGCTTTTCTTTTTAGATCCTTAGATCCCAGTTCATTATTGGGAACGTGGTAGCAATGTTTATGGATTTTGCTGGAATATGTGTAATGAGCAACTTCAAACCTTTTCTTTCTCAGAATTAGTAAGTTAGCTATGTAGCTACTATTTTGTGCTTCATCAAAATCTGTGATTGGAGATTAAGTATGTTTAAAAATTTTTTTTTAAAAAAACAACCTGTGCTATTTCTTTAGTGGTAATTGGTAGGGGGTGAGGTGTAGGGTCCTCTAGGTTTGGAAAAATGTCATAATTATTGCCCCAGCTTTCCTGGTGCCAGTTGTTTTTCTCTTTTAGTCAGAGGGCAAAGAATAAAATGCTGCAATCGAGGGCAAAGAATAAAATCCCAAGGATGTTGCTAAAGCTAATACAAATATAACATGATGGAGATTGTTGCCCAAGTCAGTCTCAATTTGAGTAGGAATCTGCTTCAGGCAAGTTGATATTTTTGAAACATCATAAGCAACAGTAAAGGAAAGTCCATCAAAAGCAAATATCTATGGGCTAAAAAAAATCAAACCAGAAGCAATCTATCTTTTTTTTTCTTTTGAGACAAGAGTCTCACTTTGTCACACTGGGTACAGTGATGTGGTGTCATAGCTCACAGCAACATCAAATTCTTGGGCTCAAATGATTTTCTTGCCTCAGACTCCTGAGTAGCTGGGACTACAGGCACTCCCCCAAGATGCCCAGCTATTTTTAGAGATGGGGATCTCACTCTTGCTCAGGCTGGTCTTAAACTCCTGAGCTCAGGTGTTCCACCTGTCATGGCCTCCCAGAGTGCTAGGATTACAGGCATGAGCCACTACGTCTGACCACAGAAGCAATTTATCTTTACAGAAGAGGAATCTAAAATTCAATTTTGTGAGTCTGTTCTGGGTTTCATGAATTTCCAGTTCTCATAAATGTGGGGTTCATGACAGAGGGGTCATCTTTATTGAATATCCCTTATTCTAAATACTTGGGACCATAAGTGTTTGGGGTTTGGGATTTTTTTAGTCTGGAATACTACTGGTTAAACATGTCTAATCCAGAAATTTGAAATCTGAAATTCTCCAGTGAGCATTTCCTTTGAGTATAATGTTGGTGCTCAAAAAGTTTTAGACTTGGCTCGGCGCCCGTGGCTCAAGCGGCTAAGGCGCCAGCCACATACACCTAAGGTGGC